ATCAAAATTTTCAGAGAATTTTTCTAGAAATGCATTTTGTTTATATTCTGCAGAGGATGAGAGAGCGAGCGAGAGAGAAAGAAACTCAGTGAATCACAGAGGATCACCAGAAATTTCACATGCCTCCAGGATCTTGTCTTTAGATTTCAGGTCAGCTCCATTCAATGCCAAATCCAGACATGGAGTCCTTTGGTCATCCAACATTAAGGAGAGTAAATAAATCAAATGATTTGGAAAACACTATATTGGAAATAGATTGCTAGTTTGCAGAGCTGGTCTGGGCTTGTCATTCCAGAGTCAACAGTGAATGAAAATTGTAGTAGCCACCCAGCTATGTAATTTGGTTGTTTGAGAATATTCACCCTTTCCATGCCATCAGCCCCTACATCCCTACATGCCTGCTTCAAATACCCTGAGGTCTAGGTAGTAATCGTAACTGAAGTTACTAAGGTATGTGTTCACAGCTTTTGATTTGGAGAGTGGACAATGCATCAGAATAAACTGAGGAAACTGCCCCCAATCTTTCATGTCTGAGTATCCCTAGCATTACTGCATCTGCTGCATAATTAACTGGTTGAATAACTATGGGACAAATGAAAAAAAGTGGTTGGCTTCAGAATGTTTGGAAGGAGTGTGTGTGTGTGTAACAACTAAATGTGACACCAATGGAGGATACTGAAGAACTCTGAATGTTACACTAGTAAAAACTAGTATGATCAAGGCTATGCTTTGAATCTCCTAGACAGTCAGACTGTTCGGAGGTGACACTAGTGAAGTCAGTAAAAGCAAGCAGAGATGGTTTTCCTGGAAAGTCTCAAGTTACCCTCACATTCCAAACAAGGCCACTGCATACCAAAAGTATTGCTGACTTATCCTCCACTCTGTAGAAACTCCTAATCTATGTAGTTAGTAACTAAAATATATGCTTGAGATATATACAAAGGACCATGCAAATACCTGTTTGTTAAAATATGGCTTTTGATTAGGTTAAGAGCAATAAGAAAAGTAATATCCTCATCTCTATGACTGGGTTTTAAAAGGTGACGTTTCTCATGCCTGAGCCCCTCCCTGAGCTGAAAGATGGGCATGAGGTTGACTTGTTTTACTGAAAGGATGAGGAGAAGGAACTTGATGCAGCCCTACCCTCTTTTTAACTGTGAATAGGTTCATTGTAGGCTCAATGGAAAGTAAATCCACGGAAGCAATAGGGAAGCTTACCAGAACTACATTCTAAGTGGTTGCCTTAGAACCCATTGTGGCCCTTGGACCATTTGAACTATGGTCACATGCTTTACCTCTCTTGATTGCATGGGACTGGCACACTGACATCTCCACAAGTCTGATAGGGTTTCCTGCTGCCACTATAGATCCAGGTAGTCATCCCCTAAAATGTTCAGACATTTTATTATGTAACAGGGCGGAGGGAGGGGTACCATATTGCTTTATCATGGGATCCCTTATCAAGAAATAGAGTGGCAGACAGAATTAGTGGTCAGAAGATGATTCAAGAACAGGCAGTATGGCAAAAGCAGTGGTCAGACAATATGACGATGGAGTCCATAGAACACATTCCCAAATGAACACAACACTGCAGGAAGATGAAGGGTGCTGGTCGAACAGACTCAAACAGCAGTCTGCTGAGCAACACTGCCGGGTGTCCACAGAGTAGCATTTTTATTGCAGTATGTCTTTCATGGAAAATGAACAGAACTTTAAATAAATCACAATTACTTATTGCTTAGTATTTTGGATAATAGTTTCTTTAGTTTATCAGTACCTCACGGCCTTCAAATGTGCATTCTTCAAATAGTTTCAATTACATATACATTCTTTCTCCTGAACAATAAATTATTCTTTAAAAAAAAAAAGAAAAAAGGAAAAGATACATAATTTTAAAGCAAAGAAAAACAAAAAAACATATATTTTGACATTTATCTTAAACTTATATGAAAACAACTCTCTCTATGTTAGATGTTTAAATATAAATAATAAAGGACATTATGTTATTTACAATGTTACATAGTAAATTGAGAGAGTAAAAACTGACATTAACTCATAAAGACAATAAATGGTTTAAGAAAACATCCAAGTAATGTACAATATGTATTTACAAAAGAATATATAATGGAACTTTTGAAATGTGGCCATATCTTTCCAACTGGGTCTCTCTGCAGTGTCTCATGGGTCTCAGAGGATGCACATCTCTGATTGATGGTATGGAGCCAGTTATACAAAGTAAGACAGACCTTCCTTATTTTCATCAAGGTGAGCCATGTACCCCTCAACCCAGGCCAAAAAAAATTAATAACAAAATAACACCAACAAAGAAAGGAATAGTTACTGAGCAAACTACCATTAAGACAGTCACCCCGACACTAGAAAGAGTATGATGCTATTTGGGACATGTTTACCTACTCAGAATGGCATTTTGCAGAAAGCAGAAGGCTGTCTGGGCACACTTGGGGAACACAACAAGATAGAACAAGAATCTTGAATGAGACAAACAGTTTTGCAAATGCGATACTCTACTGCATACCCTTCAGTGGAATATGATTTCAGTTCTAGGTAACAAAATTGTTGCAAAAGTCCTAGGCAGTTCCCACAATCGCAAAGCCCTGGACAGCATTCCACACGATTGGGACACAGATCTATATTCCTTTGTATTTGCCATTGTAACTACTGTCCAAATTAAAAAAAAAAAAACAGAAATGGCTCATAATTCATAGTGATGTAGCAAAGCAGAATGGCTAGAGACATCCCTGTAACTATGAATATGGTGGCTACAGCAAGTGGCCCTGGGCGGGAAAGTCCTTGTTCTATGGGCAGACAGGCTGTTCCAACTAATATACCACCTCTCTGAATGATCAGAACCAAGCTACAAATAAAGTTGCCTCTTGTCCTAAATTTTCATTTATATTTGGAAATCTACAGCAATTCTCAAAGTTTCAGAAAAATGTGATTCGCATCTCCTCACAGAAAATTCTATTTTGGAAATTCCCTAGGATGGAACATCTGAATACTGCAATGTACAAGGCATTTGAAAATGAATGTTCAGGTTATTATTATTATATTTTTTTTCATTTTATGTGAGAATGCATTCATTGAAATACTCGAGAATGAGCTAAGGCTTTCAAGGGCAATGCATGCCAAAGTAATGTTGAGGACTATCTCCTTCCCTGTGCCATGATGTTACTCATTTCGACAGACAGGGACATCGGTGCGACCTGGCAGCAGTGCCTTAGAGTAGACGGCAAAGCAGATGAGAACACTACTGAGCATAGAGTGAGTGGCGTGTGAACAATGATAGAAAAACTGGGCAAGACAAGTATCTCTGTGGATTGTAGAAACATGTAGGAATATCATGATGTGACTCATGCCCAGCCTGCATTTTTCTTCTAAGACCTCTCTGTATGTCATTCCTTCCCATTAATTTTTTAATGTAACGTATTTGGGGAAGCTCACCTGCAAACAAAAAGCAGTTACTCTCATTGACTGCTAAGCTGTTTCCCAGTTTAGTCCCATCGCTCCTAGGAAGCCATCTGGAGCCTCCATAAATCTTTAGACTTGACTGACAGATAATCAGGGAGGGCATGAAATAGGTTCTGCATTTTGTTCTGTTTTTAAATCTAAATTTCCTGAATTAGCAGATATTTCAAATGTGAACTTCCTATAGGCCTTCCTTTGATTGATAATCCCAAGAGAACATGCAAAGTTTAGACCAATCTCAGTCCTGCTTTGTGACAGTTAAGCGAAAGTTAAGAGAAGGAGAAAAAGGGTGGTACAGGCTATAAAAGTGGAGGTCGGAACACAGGTGGGGGTCACCTCTTTAAAGAAAGGTGCAATCCTTCCAACGCTCCTGACACTTTCTGATGAATCATCCCTGGTGGGAGGTTCTTAGTAATCACAAATCACATGCACATTCGCCATTCCTGACAAAAATGTTCATGCATAGTTTAGATCTCATCAAGGCAGCATTGCGAAACAAAAGAAAAACAATGGGAAGAAAGGACCTTTAAAAGCCATCAGCCATGGTCTACAGCTGCTCTCCACCTGTTGTTCTCTATAGCTTCATTCCTAAATACCTTCCCACAGAAATATTGCCCTAAGACAACAAGTCACCTCCCTGAGCAGCAGGCATATTTCACTCTGGCTGTTTTGAGATAAACTGTCAAGCGTGCTGAGCTGTCTGGATGGGGCCTTTTGATGCCTGAAAGGCATCTTTTTTTGATCCAAGACAGCATCAAGCTCTAGCTCCAAGATATACAAGTCAGAAATGATTGCACCTTTCCCAATTGTGATCTTCAGTGAACTTCTGGATCATTCCCCCAGAGAGAAAGTGAAATTGCATCCTCTTGGCAGGTGTCACATTCACCCTCATAGCAAGCCAGAACCCATTTTCTAAATTATCCCTACAACTGTTGCTTTTTGTCAAGGAGGAAAAAAATTTCTAAATAAAGATAATGGTAGCTCTTTCGAATAAGAGCAAGCTGTCTTCAGACTAAGAATATAGTTTTTTTTTTTTTAAATCACAGTATTACTTTCTTCCTAATATTTAACAAGACTTAATGCAGTTTCCTGCTGTATTTAATAGTAGCATGCTGTTGGATCTACTATTATCTCAGAGCCCAAGGAAGCAAACCATTGGCTGGCAGGGTAGACACAACTCATTTCATATTCTGAAAGCAAAGAAAATTCCATACAAAAGACAAGAGTATTAGGATGATGTGCCATTAGAAGACAGACTCGTTGGGTGCTACTACAAGCAAACAGAAGGACAGGTGCAAGTCTTGTAAATCATACATCCAGTCAACATCATAATGCAATGCACAAGAAGCCAGCAAAAAAAACTGAATATATGGGACGCTTTGCTGAAATACTGTGAGAAAGCAATCACTGTCACTGTACAAAACTTGCTCTCGACATAACATAACATAAAGGCACCATTGATATCTTTCTCGTTTTGAAATACTGTAAAAAATTGCTACATATGGCACATAACACATTTTTACATACATATATTTAATTTATAAAAGTTTTTTTTTCCTGTTTTCTATTTGCAGAACTGCTAAAATAAAATAAATTGTTTAATTTAAGGTGGAATACTTTATTATATAAAATAAAGTTTTACAGGTGAATCTATGTGTTTATTTCGGTTTTATACAGCAATAGGGTCTTGGTTAGCAATGACACTAGACAGCCTGGCCTGTATTTCTTCCTGCGTGGAGAAGCGGCCCGCTGGGTTAGTCCTGCTGTCAGCCAGGCGGAAGGCAGGTGCTGCCTCAAGACTGGCTGCCAGGGGGTTCTGTATGCCCAGGAAAGGTGTGTCTTCACCTACTCGTTCATCTTCTGTCTCACTCTCTGAGTTACTGCTCTCAGAGCTTGTGTGGCTGTCCATCTCCGACCTGTTGGCAATGTGGCCATTGGGTTTGGTTCTTTTGGCTCGCCGGCTATTGGCAAGTTTCTTAATAGGCTCTTGAGCTGGCTCGTACTCCTGGGTCGTTTCGTACTCCTCGTCCTCCACTATCCTCAAAGGGCTGGGGGGCAGGCTGTTACTCTCATGCGCGGGGTTGTGGTGGAAGGAGTTGAACTGCTGTGGATGGTGGTCATACTTCTTCTCCCGGAGCCTTGGTGGTGTCACGAGCAGCAGAGGTCTCTCTTCTTCCACGAAGGGGCTGACCGCCATGGAGGGCATGGATACCGTCATGCTGGACACTGGTGGAGACATTTCCGAAGGGGGCGATTTGGGGGAGCTTGGCGTGAGGAAATCTACGGGTGACATACGAGCTGGAGTGGTCATGGCTGACACATACCTGTGTGAGCACAGAATAGCTTGCGTGAGTGTGGTGAGGTCAGGACACAGAATAGGGAGGGTCAGGGCATAGAGATAATGGTATTATATAATCAAAGAACAAAGAATTTTCTGTTTACGGTATTCTTCTTGATTTTGACACTAGGAAATTCAGCACCCTTGGAATCTAAAATTATGCAGCCAAGAGTTTCCTTGTGGGAGGACATGCAAAGATCAACTACATTGCCTAGCTCATCACAGCTTTTGGGATTTCCAATCTCATTATTATGATTTTTAAAAGAAGCAAATGAGCCAAGACAAAGAGGCCCAATGATTCTGGAAACCTCTTGGTTTAGGAGGACCAAGGCTCAGGGATTTGGAAGGGAAAGAAGTATTGCTTAAATACTATACCTTCCTAAAGGCCAAGGGGTCTTAGAGAATGAAGCCCAAATGGGAAATGGAAGAAGATCTAAGATGAGTTGCTGATAGCTGGATCTGCATGCATTTGCATCTGTGTGCCTTGTTTCTCCTTAGCTCAGCTATAAGGTTATGTCTTATGAAAAAAAAAGAGCATAGTAACTTAGATTTATTCCTGATAACAGTGTCATACATTTGTGTGCTTTTAATCTTTTTCTATGAAATGCAACTAGTTAACATCCGATTAGCAACTAACCATCCCCAAGTGCAAGACTTGCAAAAGTAAAGCCTAAGAGAACCTTAGTTTGGCTATATCATCACCACAATGGGGTCCAGTCTCTGACCTAGCTCTTGTGCCTGCTCACGGGTGAGCTGAGCCAGGCTCTCTATAGGTCAAGTTTGAATCTTGTCATCAATATGCAAACCTGTTTTTACCACATCATACTTTCATGCCTCTAGAAAAAGAAGGCCTGAGGAGAACTTGGCTTATGCAAAGCCACATTATTCATCTTTTGATAAAAATGTTACTGGCACATAACACTCCACAATCCTTTTCTTCACGTTGTCATTTACCGGGTCTGATCTGGCACTCTCTGTGACGGTATAGGACAGAATCACCTGAACTCAAGCAAAACAGGAGAAGAAATGTCCCAACATTCTTGCTTTTTTTTTTAAGATGCATATGACATTCAGCTGCATCTAAAATGAGAACATGTCTCAAAAATCAAAATATTTGGGGATTGAGTCTCCAGACTTTTTACTTTGATAAATTAAGCTCTCTTGTAAGTGTTAATCCAAATTCAACCAGCACACACCAATGATTCATCTTTTCACTTCATCAAGTTCAGGTGTATCTTTCAGTCCTAGACAATATTTGGGGTATTGGAGAAAGCCTAGCACAGCAAGGAAGTCGACCTCAAAAGATAAATATCATATGTACTGACGAAGGAACACTTCATCCCTAACCTTCTTTCCATAGTTCACAAAATATTGAATTAGGAAGGACAGACTTGCTTAATACATAAAGATGCAATTACATGCATTTAAAACTAATGTTTTAAACCAGTCTTGGACCCTGCCCTAGCATTTTATAAATGGGTTGCAAGGAAACCTCTAATTTCATAAATCCCACGAAAGTCCAATACGTCATTTTTGGGAAAAGAATGTTAAAGACATAATCAGCAGGTTCTGTCCAGGCTGATGCTAGCTCAGAATGGCCCATTGTTTGCTATGAATACATGCATCCCAGTTCATGAGTGAGCAAGTTTACCCAAATCTTTAACACCCTCTCAACGACCAAGCCATTGCGGATCTAGCATCATGCAAACCTCCTACTAAATTCTCAGTGGTTAGACTGAGCCAATGATAACATAGAATCAACTCAGTGGATTTGAAAATCAACAGATAAGAGCATTCTGATGGGCTGACATGCCACTTGGGAGTAACTCTCTTCCAATTTATGTAAAAATGGATTGCGAATCTATTAAGTTAAGGTTCTGCATCTATCATTTCTTCCAGTTCACTTTCCTCTATTTTTTATTTTAATTTGGCTATTTTTCCTCAAACCAACCCAATTGGCACAGAAGAAAGCCAATGCTTTTGGAATATATCACCTTTGGAGACTGCCAGACACAGCACACCAAGGATGCTGGTATTTATCCCTCCCTGTAATGTCAGAGGGGATGCTACATGAAGGAAAACTAGCAGTTGTTTCTGCATGATAGTCAGCAGTGATTCAGCCCTTGATTAACCTGAGCCTGGAAGGTCATACCAAAGTGGCATATGAGAACATTCAGCCAGCTAGACTATCACGTTAAAGTAAAGCATGTTTATTAGCAGGATCTTACAAGCACTGATGCCTTGTTTTAAGTCACAAAGAGAACCCTGAGACCCTGCGTGAGTTTGAACCTGTGGCTAGAGTGGAGAACTGCAAATTTTCTGCACTTTTCCCATCAAATCACTCTAATTCCTTAGGAGTCTGTTGCCTGATGGCCACTGGGATGCCACTGGAGGCTTAGAAGAAATGAATTCAATCAAGCAAAAACAGCTTCATCTGCTAGGAGTGCGGCTAGAGCAGGGGACTGTCTCCCCTTCTCCAGGCTTGAGCAGATGTCCTCAGGGAGACCGCAGGTGCTTGGGGCATCCTTTTACTGAGGTCCTCCTCTGCCGGGCTTTGCCCTTCGGTTTTACCTTTCACTATGAGGAGAGTCTCGGTAGGAGTCAGGGGTTTCTCTGGCATGCCTGAGGAAGCTGTTACACTCGCGAGGGCCTCCCAAGCCATTAAGACGTCCTCTTGGGCCCCCTGTGGGGCTGCTGTGCCTACTGTTTTCTACTGATGACATCATGATAACAGAGTGGCTTTCCGAAAGGATGCTTTCAGTGTGTCCGTTGCTCCAGCTAGGGGGAAAATGTAAGAGGCAATGAGATATTTAAGAAAAAAAACACATGAAGAAATAAAAGTCAAAAGAACTCATTTTGATCAATGCTTCAATCCTTTCAATCAGTCATTTGCTCACAACATGTAACCTTGCTTGTTTCCACCAACAGAACTGTTACAAAGTATCCTGTGATGCAGCTGGTTGGATGACCACCTGAAATGTTGGCATCCCCTAGGAGTGCAGCTTTTGGTCCCAGCTGCTTGGTGTCATTTCAAATCCAGTTTCCTGTTTATGTGCTTGGGGAGACAGCAGAAGGTAACCTAAGAACTTAGCCCCTGCAACCTATGTGGAAATTCGGATGAAATTCCAGGTTCCTGGCTTTGATCTGGCCCAGCTCTGGTCATTACGGTCATCTGGAGAGTGAACCATCAAACAAAATCTCTTTCTCTTTGTATAAGTCTAGATTCCAAATACATAAATAAATCTTTAAAAAAAATCTTAGGTTGATTTTGTAAATCTATTATTCATTCACTCATTCATTCATGTGGTCATTTGTGTAATAAATATTATTCAAATACCACCATTACTAAAATGTTCATAATTTCGCTCCTTGAGGGGCTTAAGTGAAGGAAACATTTTGTTATTTTTCTTTTCTCTTTTCCTCTTGGTAGAGTACCTCAGATACTAATCACTGTGGCATTGGAGAACTACGTAACCCATTCAGATGTGCATTTTCACAGAGTAATCCAATTACCAAAAGAAGCCAAATTTTAAGTATTGTACACAACCAAAGACAAACTTTTCCCAGTGTAGCAATCCAGTGGGCAGCAGGACATGGGTAAGCACAATCTCTAATACAAACCAAGAACCCTGTGCGGTAAGTATCCCTCTTCTTTCTCTGGTAATGGAAAAATGGAGCCTCAAATTTACACAGCAATTAAAGGCAGAGCCAGTGGATACCCAAGGTCTGTGTCTACAGATCAAATACTTCATGGCTGCATACATGCTGCTTGTTCCCTTTTGCAGGTGGTCAGAGCAAAAAGTGTTTTCCCCTACCTGTGACTAGGAGTCTGAGTGACAGTGGTGGAATGATGAGCTGTTGAGGTGTAATGACTGGTGGAAAAAGATGTCTCTGCTTCTCTCTCAACAATGTGCTCACTCGAGATGACATTTTTAGATACGTATTGCTAGATAAACAAAGAGACAAAACATGTAAATCAAACATTGTCATGCAAACAAAAACAGACTCTCACACACTTGCTTTGTAATAAATTCTAGTTCTCCTTTAGCTAGATGTCAAATCCTCTTGTAGCTGCACAGGCTTCTAGATTAGTTGGAGTTTATGAGTTACTCTTTGCATTTGCATGCAACATCCCAGGACCCCAAATCACAGCTACATTCTGATGGAAAAATAACTATATATTTTTACTGTATTTCATTTCCAATTGTAGCATGACCAGAATTCAATACAAATATCTGTCCCATATTTATTTTTGCCAAGGTTTCAACAAGTTGAAGGAAACCATTGGATACTTGAGTGAAACAAGAGCATAGAGATGATATGTCTTATTTGAAATTTCAGGTTACTGGGGAAAACAATTTTTTAAAAAAAAATCTGTATTTTGTATCTACCATTGTCTTTCAATTTCTTAGTACCCACATAGCTCTACTATTGCTGATATTTTAAATTTGTTGTCATTGGTAAGACTAACAAGCCTACTGAGAAATTCAAAAACCTTGCAATAATATATCCAGGTCTCTACAAAGTCCATTATAAGTACAGAGGGCTTTATATTTAGTGCAGCTTGTTTCTATATTAGCAAACCACAGACCCTATTACTGCTTTCTATCAACAAGAGAGGCCCATTTTGAACTGTTTTAAATGCTGTTAATTGAGTTAAGGATAGGAAAAGGAGTAGTAAAAGGAGAAAAGAAGTAGACTTGACACTCGAGCTGTTCTGCTAGGGAACAGAACATTGGGTAGGGCTCTTCCTGGGATGTTCAGCCAGCTTGCCTTAAGAAAAAGGGAACAAAGTGACCCACTCTGCATTTTCTCACCATTTCAGATCTGCCTTTCAGGAGGCAATGTTACGCTCAGCGAATATGCTGAAAACAATATTTCACAATTGTTGAGCACTCACGGCTAAGTGCCACAGGACTGAGTGTCTTCAGGAAATGATCATATTTAAAGCTAACAAGGTGTCTTGGAAGTGGGCCTTATTCTTAGGTCCGGTCTCATGATGAAGACAGATGGCTGAGAAAAGACATAACCCAGTCTCACAATGTGAGCCATGCTTGGAACCCAGAGTGTCCATCTATGTCTTACAGATGAGCATATTTCAAAAAGTTCGTGGTGGGGTACACATTTAGCGTTTCAATTAAAGACATCTCTTGAGAAGTCCACATCCCAGGTGGGAGTAGCTGGGGCCCAGTCCTAGCTGTGTTCTCTATTCCAGCCTCCTGCTTAGGCAGACTCTAGGAGGAAAAAGGTAATGGCTGAAGTACTGGGGTCCCTGCTACCAGCATGGAGATGCAGAGGAGTTCCAGACTCCTGGCCCAGCTCTTGAGAGTGTTTGTGGAATGAATCAGCAGATGGGAAATCTGTCTTAGCTGTCTGCATCTGTCTCTCTGAATTTCCAATAATATAAACAAATAAACAAATAAAATTTTTTTCAACATTGATGGAAGATGGAATTAAGCACCCAATATCAGGAAACACAGAGTGGCAGATTAGAGCTATATTCATGGAAACTGCACTTAACCACTGCATAGAACAGTTTGCCTAAGATTCTAAAGGTCTTTTTGATGCAAGCTTGGTTGGTGGTTGAAGTAGTCTTGGACTCCAGGCATAACTATCCTATATCTTACCCCCTCAAAATTTTAAGAGCATTCAAAGGCTCAGGGAAACATGCAGTCAAAAGACATTGCACATTTCCATGAACTTTTTGAAGACCCCGGCACACACTTTTCATAGGAAAGAAATGGCAATGCAATATGATCTTCAAGCTTTATCTATTTGAAAACCATACAAAGGAACCAAGAGGTAAAAATAGAGAAACCAACAAAACAAGAAGGTTTAAGCTGTCACAGAAGAGCAATACTCCAAAGCCAGGAAAACTGAGCTCAGCTCTGTCCCACATTTTGTCCAAAAGACAGTTCTAAAAGCTAATACATAAATGCTCCCAACAATCTTATATTGTGTTTTCTAACTGTGTTGAAAAGCTCAGGAGTTGGTAAAGCTGACTTGCATATATCTGAAGGATTAGGGACCCACTATATCCACTGCAGGGTGGGACACTGCAGTCCCAGTCGCGTGGTATAAAGGCAGCATTGCTTTCGTACAGGTTTGCTCCTGAGAAGTGTCTTTTGATAAAACACTTGATCTTCTCATGTGGCAAAGTCTTCTGTTGATAATCAAGATCAGAAAAATGATCAGGCATTGCAGAGGGCTCCTAATAAAAATAACCCCTAAGACCTTTACTCCATTCTCCATTCTAAATCAACTGGAATAGTCTGGGCTCTCAAATTATACATTTAAAATTTCCGTATGATTCTTGTATCATGAATTTCCTTATTTTTCTTCACTTTGTTTTTATTTTTTCCCCCCAGTTAGGGCCTTCCTGCTGAAGAAACCCTGCATTATTATTCCACTCTCTTAATGAACACTTTATAAGAGGAAATGTGCCGGTTTTACAGTAACCAAATCTACTTTAAAAATTGTTCCCATTATTTCTCCTGGCAAAACCTTGGATTCCTGGAAGCCCTGGTTATTAATGGTGACAGCTAAGAGCCTAAAAGCTTTAGCCAATAAACGTCAAGGTGCCCAAAGCGAAGAGAGATGCTTGGATTTTTCCACTGGCCAGAATCAACATACATTCACCAGCTGCACGTTCTCCGGGGGTGGGTTGGGATGGTGAGGCCCGTTGGCAATGTTCACCATGTTGTTCCGCTCAGATCGAAGACTCTGCCGCAGCCTGTCATGAAGCTTTTTCCGTTGCTTCCTGGACATAAATATAAAATAGGAGGTGTTTACTGTTGCTATTGTTTATTAATGCAGCCCAACCTTAATCCTGCCAGTACCTATGAGTACAACTCAAAGTAGTGGGTTGATGTTAAGGAAGAGGGAATGAAGTATGGTGCCATTCCAACACAGAATAAAGAGACTCCCCCATCCTTAGCTGATGATGTAAAAACCTACATGAGCATCTTAGAGAAGCTTGACTGTTTTACCCAGGAGGATCAAAAACAGAACAAACAAGTACATTCGCGTTTAGCTAAGATTCCCATTTGCCTAACCAATCCATCTTTTGCTAAATCTTTATAGACAGCTGTTGGTCTTAGATAAACTGTACGGTTGAGAAGGCTGATTCCATGTATATTTCCTCCTGTGAACCTCTTAGTAATGTGAGCTTGGTCTCAAATCTGTCCATCACACAGTGTGTATGCATGCTGTACACACATAGGGATGAGAGTATGGGCAGATTTGCTGACACTACACTATTAAGTAATGAATATTGAGTTTGGTGTTAATAAGATTCATGAGGTTGATTCTTTGAAGGCTTTTTTCTGTCTATGAATTCTGGTAACATTCAGAATCATGGAGCACTGAGAAAACACCATCCATGTTCTGGCCTTTGTGACCTAGAAGCATATTTATGCTCCCCGATGCAATATTCCTATCAGACTAATATCCCCATGGTCAGATTTTGCAAGAGAGGATTATGTTACAAAGCCAAAGTACAAAAAACAAAACATTAAAAAAGCCCTGTCAATTTAATATTCCAGGGTTGAAGGGGAAGATATATGTAGGAGAAATGAGTGAATTCATTTCAGACAATAATTGCATTTAGTAATACAGACCAAACTCAAAGGGGCAAACATGGTGAACACACATTTATCTTCATGTTTCCCCTTTTATTTTTTTAAAGTGAATGTTGTCTGATTTCCTTCCCATGAAATCTCTTTTATACACCTCTCACTTTTGAGAACATTTGTACAAGCAACCTAATTAGACTTGAAAAACAATCACTATCACAAAACTGAAGCTCAAATACGTCACCAAGTGTTTCCTCTTCCACCTATGATGTAGTCAAGTCAGACTTGCGCTCAGCACTGATGGCTCCCACCTCCCTCTCACTATGTCAGGAACTATGGTTTGAATATTAGAATGTCCTCCAAAGGCCCATGTGTTACATAGTCCCCAGGCTGCTGCTGGGAGCGGGGACTAGGAAGCGGGGTTTGAGCCCCTGGGGGTCGTGGCCTCAGGAGGTGGTTCTATGGTGAACTTGGTGAACATAGTGAGTTATCAAAGCTTCTATTTGGGTCTTTTGCTGTCTCTGCTTCCCGGCTCGCCCAGCGATTTTTCCTGTTTCTGATCCACTCTTCCTCACTGCGGCTCAATCCAATAGGACTTTCTAATTTTGACGATTGAATCTTCCAAAACTGGTGAATTTTCCCATCTTTACCTTACACCCTCCACTTCCTTTCCCCCCTTTTCCCTTCAGCCTTACTCCTCCACTCTTCCACTCGTCGTTTTCTCTCAGCCTTGATCTCCACCCACTCCCAGCTCCTCTGGTCTGCCTCCCTCCCCTCAGCCCTGCCGCCCCGTTTTGTTTTTTCGTCTTTTTTGCCCATTCTTATCCCGCACCACCCGAATCTCCCAGACCCTGGCTCCTCCACCCCATTTTTTCTTCAGTCCCATCCTCCACCTAGGTCTTTCCCAGCTCGTGTACCTGCCCTCCAAAAAATAACTAAATAAATAAATAAATAACCAAAACCCTGATTGGTAGCTAAATAAGCTATCTATTTATCTATCTATTTATCAAGATATATGTGTGAATACACACACATATATGTATGTATGTGTGTATATTAACTTGTCTTGGGCATTTCAATGTAATGAGGAGAAGCTAATTAATGCATGATACCTGCACCTCACCCCACCTATAGGTATCCCTGAAGTTCAAGTCTCTTCCTCAAGTCCTTCATCCATTCAGGAGCTGCACGCCCCCACTGTACATCTTTGGGGTGCTTCACCACAAATGGTGAAGTTTTCTAATGTAGGTGACTAGGAATGGTCCTTGATGAATAATTCAGAGGGAAATCTAAAGCAGAAAACCTCCCCTATCCCAAGCCCTCTGCTTGTCTTCCGTAAGACTAGGCTGTGGAGCTGGTCCCCATGAAGCCCTGGCCTTCTAGGCGTCTCTGCACCGAGAAGGAGAAAGCATGGAGGAGGAAGGTTTACTTGGTCTTGCAGTAGGCCACCACACACATGATGCCAACCACCAGCAGGGCGATGCAGATGCCAGTTATGGTCAGCACCCTCTTCTGGTAGAGCTCTTCTGCTTCTGGAAAGGGATGAGGGCAGATGTCACCAAAGGTCACTTACACTTGCCTGGGCACATTACACCCAAACAGTTGGCATGCTACACAACATTGTCCATGTTCACAAGAAAATAAATACATTACAACTCGGGATGCTAACACATCTGTCTAAGATACAACATGCTCTACACTATACTTGGGCATAAATAACAAAGCCAGTTGAGGCCACTTACAATAAAAATACTCCAAAATATAAAGTATATACATATATATATATGGTATTAAACTGGCAAGATATAAGCATTAAGTATAAAATAGCTATTTAATAAAAATTGTGCAGTTTTTACTTTTTAAAAAAATCTTTTGCAAAGAAAATAATCTCTTGTAAAGACCACAGGAATGCACATCATCAAAAGAGCTGCCATCAGTCTCGCTGGCACCTTCCTCCCGCCCCCTCTCGGCTCTAGCTTCTTTGTAGTTACCAGATATCTTACATCAACACTTACTATCCAGTGGTCTTTACAAAAAGTCACGTCTAACTTAAAATTAAATTCAAAGGCATTTGCAAACATGAACTTGGCTTGTAGTTAGCAAGTCAATTGAGTCAGAACATCTATGCTTTCACAGCAAAACAGGGAAAACGTAAGAAGCAACATACTATGGACCAGCAGGGCACTGTATCCTAGAAAGTCCAATAAGATGGGTAGGAGAGTCCTTTGGAGGACAATTCTTATCCCTTTACCAATTGTACTCGGAGAACAAATTTATTTGGATTAAGAAGTCACTCTCACAGGTGACGTACAATTTGGAATCGACTGTCCATTTCTGCATTGGCCAATATGGCAAATTAGTTCATGTGCATTATAAAAAAGGGAGGGTGATGCTTAGAATTTTGAATTCAAGCTATCACTGTACCACAACTGCATTATCTGTCTCTGATTCACAGAAACATTGCTATCTGCAAATCAGTTTCTTAAGGGCTGGGGATGGGGAGAGGAGGTTGACCTGACTGAGGCAGCTCAAGTTCTTCATGAGGTTTGCTGATTTCATTGGGACCTGGAGACTTTAGGACTCAGATCTCTAATGAGTTGATTATTTTCATTGGAAGTACAACACGAATTCACTCAGAAAGCCACTCTGGTATGACAAAATAAGTGATATGAGCTACTTACTTGCCATTATGATTAATGAGCTGGTAAAGAGCTGGGAAGATCACACAAACAGAGCTGCATTGCCTGCACAACATGAGACCCTCAAAGAATATTTTTATTTTATGTATGCAATATCAGCAACTGCATATACGTTTTCCTCATTGGAAAGGCTAACTCATAGGAAGTTTTGTTGAAATAAAAGTGATTTATAATTTCTGTGATACAGTGGACCCTATCATTAAACAAAAACATTTCCCTACAAGCCGAGTCCATGAGCATCAAATTCCAGTTAACAAGTCAAGAACATTGTCAAATCATATTAATAACATACTGATTATTAACAGGAGAGGGAGGAACAAAGAAGTCAGTAGGTAGATCAGAATGTTGCATAGATTATACAAAAACAAACCAGAAGTTTGGGAGTGGAAAGGAAAAACAAACCAAAGGACAGACAGAATGAGAAAGAGAGAGAGAGAGAAATGTGAGGAAAAACAAGGTTAAGGTTAAGGAGCCATCTGAAGTCCCTGGCACAGCATGCCTGATACTAAGGGAGGAAATAAAACCAAATGAAAGAGAAACAGAAGCAGGAAATGCTGGGGTGGGAAGAAAAGGCAGATGCAGAGGTGGAAGGGTTATCCCATACAGCATAACTCCTAACCTGGGCTAGCGGTTGTGTGGAAGCCACAATTAGAAAGCCAAGCAGCTGGTGCATTGCGGTGAAAACAATGGACCAGAAGACACAGAGTTGGTGTCACAGATTTTTGTGCCACAAAAGTCAAACGAGGACATGGAGTGTGAGTGCTGATGCATTCATTGCTGGTGTCTGCTGCCTTCCGCCCCCAGAACCACAGAACAGGGATCTTATTTTCTGAATAAGTGTTATCTGACAGCTGATGCCACTGCAGCTGCACTTGTGGCCCTTAGCATCCCAGTCGTTAGCATCAATGTTTTAAGAAGCAGAGGCCTCCCCTCCCCCATCTCCCCGCATTGCCTTCATCCACGGGAATGAGAAGAGCTAGCTCTTACTGCTGCAATAAGCTGGTCAAGAGCATGCCTATGGTTGCCAAGAAATTGGAGTTGCTACTTTAGCCTCTTCTGCTGACTCTACTTTTTTCTCCTTTGACTGGCATGATAAGGTCTTGGTTGTGTGCTTTTTCACTGACATCCTCACATTTTATCTATAGAGAAAGCAGAGGTGCTGCTACTGCAAATTGCAAAAATGAGGACATGTGCCAGGGATAAATGGGGAAAAACTGTTGTTTTCAGGGATCTCTCTGATAAGTTTTCTTTTTGTTACTTATACGGAATAGATGGAGCTGGATTGATGAACAAATGGCACATAATGACTTGCCCATTCTTGTTTTGCGGGAAGATACATGGTTTTCAGTAAAATGGTTATTTCATGGAAAGAAAAAGGTAGTTCAATAAAGGTCAAAAGGTAATGTGAAGGAACTAAAATTAGAAGTAAAGGCAAAACCTGCAGAATACAGATGAGGGGTTACAGCTCTGTATCCACATCAGCATTTACTACATGCACAGCACCTTTCTCAGCTGAATTTCCATTTGACCTTTACTTAGTTGTGCTAGAGCAGTTGCACCTGCCATGGTATGAATATGTTCAAGGAAAAAGATGAGGCGTCCTCAAAAAGCTCCCAGAAGATGCATAATATGTAAAATCCTATGCATGGATTTAAAAGTTTCTGGCATCAACAATGAACTCTTTCAATTCCAATTCCTATGAACCTTTTGAAGTACCCTCCTACCTGATCAACAACGCAAACAATGGTTTTTTTAAAGCCCTTTTTCTTCTTACCAGTATCATTTGCCTTGTGTGAATGAGTCCTTAGGACAAGCACAAATTACAGACAGTGCTCAAACACAGTCTGTGCTGTCAGTGAGCCTATCTCCAGGCGTGACGTGTGGCTGAGGCACTTGTCTGAAATTCACTTAGATGCTTTACAGTGGATCAGATCAAGGCCCTTTCTCAGCCCCAGCTGGCCAGCCCGAGAGTCACGGTTCTTGTCTGTGCACTTTGACATTTAAGGTCAGATTTTCTTTAGGGATGCACTGTTGTGGTTTACTCTATGGGCTAGCCTGCAGCCACAGAGCCTTTGAGAGGTGTGACATTTGTCCTTACTGGCCCTAAGAAGTTCTTACTGACACTGGAATTTAGGAATAGAGACAGTGAAATCCATAGTCAGATCCTTCAGCTACACAGCAGGAAAAACACTGTTAATGAAGAGCTGGAGGGATTATAGGTATTTTTCATCCTTATAGGAAAAGCCAGTAGATTTCAAAAGTGGGGTTATTATTATTATTTTATTATTTTGTTATATTATTTTGTCTTGAAGGAAGAAAGCCCAACAGTGGTGTTGGTTTCCATATTGTGCTCCCCATTCTGACGTGCTTGTTTGTGATGCACAAAGACCCTTCCATATACACTTGGGGATTTTCTCATCAAATGTAGAGTGTTCTCCAGGAATTCTCCCCTCCCACCCCTGGTGGCATGTATGTTGGGAGAGGGGAGTTTGACTGGATGAATGGGTAATTCATGGAGCTGTTGTACTAGAGCAGGCAGCTGCCTCATTCGCCCCGAACAATAGCGGGTATGTTAGGGGTAGACTGTGCCACTCTCACCTAAAGGCACCAGCTCTCTGAAGCCCTGGCTGTGTGAAGACACTGCAACCAGTGGGTGGTAATCAGGTGTTGTGTTGTTGACCTGTGAGCCCATTCCAGGGCTGTACGCCATTCAGAAACTGGGGTCACTGGCAAGACAGCCTGGCCTTTGTTCCTAATCATGGAGGATGAGGCCTTCAGAAGGAGGCACGTGCCTGTATCCCAGGTTCTTTTGGGAGATGCTGTTTTATGGTTCCAGTGTGAGAACTGCTCTTTGATGATTAATCTGGATAATCCTAGTCACTCAAAACTTAGTTCCATGAGTTCTGGAATCTCCATCTAACATAGCACAAAGTGTCTTTTTGTATTTCTCTTTCCCTGCTCATCAGAGAATGAAATGGACAAGAATCCCACTGGACTATCTCTAGCAAATCTGAATCTGCGCCTCTAATAATGCGATGCATGGGCTCTTTAGAAGATTTGTATATTTTATGTCAAACTTCCATCCACCATGTGGCATGTTTTCGAAGTGGATGAGCTGACAGCTTCTTTTGTTCTAAGGCCCCTGCTTCGGTTTCCCCTGCAGTCTTAGGGAGCACACTCCAGCTTACCCTGGCTTGAAATAACAGCCTAACCAGATCCAATCCAACAAAGTGGAATATGTGTCTCTTTGCAGCAGGTGAAGTGATTTTGAACTCTAAGTGGAAGAAGCTTAGGACCCTAACAGCTGCTGCGCTCAGTACCATTTTGGTAGGCTAATCATAGCTTGAGAACAGAGAAACCGTTGTTATAGCTGTATGATCCCTTCTAAAGAAAAAGGAAATTAGTCAGGGACTGAAAAGTAAGAGTAGGAAGGGAAAAAGGTTTCAGCGCTTAGGCTCTAAAATCTGCAGGCTAAAAGGAATGATGATTGGTCCATACCCATAAATTCAATCCCAAGATGCTCTGCCAATGCAGAAAGTTGACAAAAAAAGAAAGGGAAAAAGTTTCAGAAAAGAGCAATACACCGCACTCCAAAACACATTACACATGACTCTTCCAGCTCGCTGGGCGTGCACATTGAACAGGACAGTGACTGGTTAATGAAGCAGTGCTCAGGTACGCCCCCCGGAGTCCACATAGGGAACTTCTCTTAGGAATCCTTGCAAATCACACTGTCTTTATTAACCCTTAAAAAACCTTACTGAGGGAGAAGTTAGACAGCTGGACCGTCTTCTAAACTACTTCATGGTTCAGTTCCAGAAAAACTTTTATGATCATATAAGTCACTTGATATTTCATTCCTTCTCGAGGTGGAAAAGTGTGATTTTTTTCCTCCCTAAGACTGATAGTGGCAGAGCCAGGAATAGAAGCCAAGAGGAAACTTTATTACAGTGACTTTATATTTTTCATTGCTTGTAAGGAATCAAACCCTATTATCGCTTGTTCTATGGTTACTTTTACCTTTACCTCCCTCCATAACCTTCCACTTTCTTCACCACTTAAATCATTGTATCTCATTCATCAAAAGCAACAAAGATTTTCACATTTGTTGTGTGTGTGTGTGTGTGTGTGTGTGTGTTATGGGAGCACTCTATGCCTCATTTTTTCCAAAGAGAAACAATTGTTTTATAAGTGTGTTGGGCTATGATGGGGAAACATAGCTCCATCCGGTATCAGAGAGCTATCTCTACACAGTGCCGAGTCCATCAGGACATCTTCAGGCCTGCCCGTGAATGTTACTTCAGGCATGAGTCCTTGCCCAACAATTCTAGCAATTCTGACTCCGCTGAATCTAGGAGTACAGGTAAGATAACCTACCCAGGCTCATGGGAGGCAATGAGTCCAAAAAATACTTACTCTGGAAAGAAACCGAAATTCAAGTGCTGTCATGTGGAAGACTAGACCTTTCTGTGGGGTGTGTGTGTGTGTGTGTGTGTGTGTGTGTGTGTGTGTAGTGGTGGTGATTGTGCAGAGGCAGTGAGAAAGAAGGGTAGACTCTGAATTTTATTTCCAGATTTACTGATTTGAGAGATTCTGGGGTGTTCTTGTCATGTGAGAATGCATCTCTTAACACTTGAAATATGTAGCAAAGGGTTGCTTCTCTTAACAAGCACATTGGTTGGTGCATAGAGAAAGTACTTCATGTACACAGAAAGAAGGTAAGTAAGCAGAGTCCTCCTAGGCTCTGGTCCTGCCTCTGCCATTACCTTTTAGTGACTTTGGAGAAGTTAATGTCTCATTGAAAGGTGTATCTACTAACACATGCCTTTAGAAAAGAAGTCACGTGTAATATGCTGGCTACTCGCTGAAAGAACAGCTCAGGAAACACACCTCTGGACTGAGACCACGGGCAATGACGGTATCCAGGTTCACTTTAGATGGTTTTCATGGACAGAGGAAAATTGAAAGGCTCCTGAGACATGTCCAAGAAAGGTTACTACCCCTGAGGAAATGTACTGAATCAGGTTAAAGTAATAACAATCTTACTAACAGATCTAATAGTGTGGCAAATAATAATGGGAATAGGAGGCATAATCTGTACCTATGACACAGTTTCCTATGTCTTAGGTCCAGGGTACTCAAATCTCCTAAATTTCCATATATTCGACGCTAGGGGGATTTAGGGAAAATTTGTTTGTAAAGCGTTCACAGCAAAATAATTGATTCAGGTCCAAATGAATTTCTATTGACTTCATTTGTCAAATTGGCAATATTTGTTTTTTCCATTTGCCTTCTTTATATAAATTTTGGAACATCAAAGTGAAGGAAAAAAAATCAGTTTTCCAAATAATTTGAAGATAAATTTCCTTCCTCATTTCCATAATGAGGGGACTCAATTTGTCTAAAATCTCATCCATGTCTTGCCTTTTCCTCCTACCAGTCAGTAATAATTTAAGGGTTAACAAAAAGACATATCTGTGAAACTCTTGCCAGAGAATCATTATCCCATGCCTACATGAACACTGCTAATGATCTATATTAGTTGCATAGAAAGCTTAGTTAAGTCTTCAATAAAATTAGTAGCATGCCCATGCATACATATTACTGCATTTACAGTTTTATAGGTAAGTCTGTGAGCCTAACACTAATTTCATTTCATGGGAAGTCATTCATATCAGGCAATTCCAATTTTAAATAATTCAATGGGAAATGAGTACTTAAATCTGGAATCTCTTCTGGCCATAAGCCTTAACAAGGAAACAAGCAGGGGAAGCATGCATGAATCAGTCATTCTGGACCTGGATCAGATTCTGCTCTGATGTATTGCTATTATTGCTAGCTACATTTCTTTCATCGAGAGTCTGAAACAGCAAAATATGCAAACACTTTTGTTTCATGAAGAGGTTTTTACTTTCTGTCTGTCCTATTATAATCCTGTGTTGGTTTAGGATCACACACTTCCTATTGAATTTCTGCCTCACCACTACAATTTTCAAATTAAATTAATAATTCAGAACTGCAAAGGTTACTGTAAACAATTCACTTCACTTTTCTACATCTGGCTTCCTGCTGTGTCCTAGGCAATATAAAAAATTAATTTAAGTCTAAGTCTTCAGAAACTATTAAATATTGACTCAGTAATCCTTTGCCTTAGGATTCTATGATTGCTTGAAGAAATTGAAGAAAATTGATTAACCTACAGGTTAATTTAAATTTTCAATTGCATTAGAGAAGAGAGAAATAACATAACTTGCCTTTGCCGAAATTATACATCTATGCAATTATGGCTTATTACAATATGAAAACATCCAGGATTTTGCTATTTTAACCCTTTGGGCCTTTTTATGTAAAGACTGTTAAAGTCTTACATGCACTCTTGACTTTCTGCATCTTTGGGCTTTCAGAAGGAGTTCTGAAGGTGCTAATCCTCAACAGGACCCACTTGGTGACTGGCCTTTTAGACTTACCTGTATAAACGTAGATACTTTGTTTTTCACATAAACCAATCCATATTGCCACTGAGCCCTTTGGAATGTGGTGGAAGACTTTCTCCTCACTGCCCCATTTCCATGTGCACATGTGCGTACTCACAAATACACACATCTCACAGTGTCACTCACACTCAGTTGGAACTCACGTCGTTTTGTCCTAAGTGGAGTATGTCCTGATTCTACTCTTAGCATGGTACACGTGTTTGATAAACATATTGCTCAAGGTTTCTAAAGCATTTAGAAATCCATGCCAATGACTGATGTGTTCACTCCCTAAGACTCAAAATCACTTTTGGAAAACTGTTTATTCATCTTGAAAATGTGCCTAAGAGCTCTAAAATGGCATTCTTTCTAAATATTCAATAAGCTATTCAATAATTAGCTCTTTATTAAATATTAGCTTGTGTACAATGTTTACTCCTCATTGCCTCTGATCATGGAGGCTATGGATATTTTATCCTTTTCTTCCATAAAGTCTGTAAATCACTTATGGATTGTCAGAACACACACACAAACACTCTCTCTCTCTCTCTCTCTCTCTCTCTCTCTCTTTCCCTCTCTCTCTCTGTGTATATACCATGTATTGATGAACATACTCCTTTCTACAAGGAATTCTGTGTCAGCAGAGGTCAAATTTAAAGCTGACTAAGCTTGACAGTATTTTCCTAGAAAGTCTTATAAATATGTTATAGTTCAAAGCAAATAGCTGCCTTATCAAATATACATTTGCTCATTTCTTTCATATTTTAAATCAGTTTTCATACATCAAGAAATGCCCCAGAGGGCATTCTAAAAAGAATCCCTGTATCCAATCTTAGCTAATAATTTTCTTTAAAAACAACTGTACATTCTTTTAGAATGCTATTTTTTTAATTGCAAATGTGGTTTGTAAGTTTGAAATGTTTGTCTATGAATCTTGGGACTGGCCTCATCCTTAAAAATTTATGTTTTATAGACTTCATGGCTAAAAACAAATTTCAAAGAAGACTGTTGTAGCAACATCTTCGTTTCAGCCTTCACTGCTCTTTGAACATTAAGTTCGCACAAAATGTTATTTTCCTGCCTCATATGTAGGGGCTTTAAGAGATGAAAATTAAGAATGTAAGACATGGAGGTTAGAAAATTTGGGCCAGTGTTGTGGCACAGTGCATTAAATTGCCACCTGCAATGTCAGCATCCCATTTAAGAGCCATCAGCATCCCATAATAAGTTGCATTCCTCTTCTGGCTGCCTCCCTTCCTGGCTAGCTCTCTGCTAACAGCCTAGGAAAGCTGCAGAAGGTGGCCCAAGTGGTTGGGTTCCTGTACCCACACAGAAGACCTGGATGAACCTTCAGGTTCCATCCGCCAGGACGCTGCAGCCATTTGGGGAGTAAGTCATCAGATCAAAGATTCTCCATCACTGTAATTCTGCCTTTTGAATAAATAAATCTCAAGAGAAAAAGAAAAAGCTAACTGGATTAGCCCATACTGGAAAAACACTTTCTGACTGGAAGCTACTGGTCTTCCACAAATGATCAATGATGCAAAGTCATTGCATATATTTGCTCATAAGTATTTTTATTAATTCTCATGAAATTAGGTTTAATAAAAGTGACAATTTTCTGGATATTTTCCAAAAGTGTCACTGAGAGCTTCCTAAAGAATTTATCTTAGAAGTCATATCGGGGACATCACAGATACTTATTTCTCATGTTATCCTATGAAAGTAAAAATCGTTTGAAAAACCAGTTGACTACTGTCAAATCTAATTGCACTAGTACTCAAGGAAATACCTTCATTCTCAAGGCTTCCCTTGTATAGTGCACCAACATTGCTTCAAATGAACAATGAAGCTTTACCTAAGAACTTATATGCCCAGAAATTTCATGACATTCTAAAAACATTATTCTATATTTAGGCAATCATAAAGATTTGCTGAATATGTTTTCTGAATATAAACACATTTCTAAAAACGTCCTTCATGTCTTAAATAAAATTCTATTTTCCTATTCTATTTTTACTTTTCATCCTACACACTTTCAAAAAATTTAATTTCATACAGTGGTAAAGAATAATTCTGTCTGGTAATGCGTATTATCTAAACATTTGTGATTAAAGACTGTACTTGGAAAGTTAGCAGTGGCGATTTATCAATTTCTTTTAATAACAGGAAGCAATCTGGCAGGATCTATGGCTTATGTGGATAGACAACAGGTCTCACTTCAACTAAGCAGATGATGGAGTTTTATGGACCTCATCTCCCTCCGATGCCTTCTATATATTTTGGTGACTTTCTACAACAGTTAACACGAGTTATGGAACCTTGCTCTTTGCATAGCAAGGATATCAGAACAAAGGTAAATCTCGGATTCTTTTAGGCTCCCCAAACAGCCAGTTTGGATTGTTGTTTCTCATGTAGATTTACTACATAAAGTAGTCTAATCAGCGGTTTGACCAGCCCAGCCAACTGCCTGCTGTGTAAATACAGATTTTTATGGAACACAGCCATGCAAATCAGTTAATGCATTTTGCTTGTGGCTGCTTCGCACTGTTGTGGTTGAGTTGAGTAGCTGACAGTGCTGGTACCATGGTAAACTCTAAGATACTTGCTGTCTGAACCTATACAGAACAAAAAAAATGTACCAGCTCTTAATCTAAATGAGTAACTGTATGAAATCCATCTTACAATGCAATGCTTTGAAAGTTTTAGAATCAAAAGCTGTAATCTCAGTTCACAAAAAAATGACAATGCAAAGATCAGTGAAGCAGTTATATACCTCGTGAACTGGATCTTTTAGTCAAGATGCTTAAAGTTTCACAAATCGCAGTAATTCCTTCGAATCTCCTAAGGTCTGCATAGCAAAACAGATATTCTAGAACTGAATTGCTATGTTTCAACGTTTTTTTTTAAAATACTGTTTTCTCCTACAAGTACCTTTGTAACATGAAGAAATACTTCTGATAGTGAATGTTAGCATAAGAAAATTACTGTGTGAACTGGTTCTAAATTACTCATTCCCCAGGCAATATAAATAGAAGTGAGGATATCTCATTTGCTGTGAAATGTTTGCTTTTAATTTTCCTCACCAGTGCTTTCTAAAATATATACCTACATGCAAACTGTTCGCTTAATGAAGAGAAACATCTGTACTCATTTTATTTTGTTTATTTGTTATAAATAACACATTCTGAACCAAGATTAACTTACCATCACTTCAAGTGCATATTAGTTACAGCTTAACCACATCCTTCTCAGGATGCCATCATTGGGATAAAGAAGCTGGACTGTTCAGCGGAATGATTTTATTTTGATCAATAACAGTGAGACTTTTCAATGCCTTTATTATCATTTCTCCGCTCATTGGACTCTCACTTCATAGCACATTATGCCACATCAACTTCAGAAACATCTGGAGCCTCACCCTCCTACCAGTGTCTCAGAGCCAACTAGTTACGAACAGAGGAGGTAATACAAATCGCGTTTGTTAATGTTCTCATGCGACAGGCAGAGGCAGTCAACATTAGACCTGGTCAGACATCTAGCGCTAGGTGGAATCTGAGGGGAGATGCAGCGACAAGGAAGCGGCACCGACTGCGCATGCTCCTATTCAGGCAGAGACAGAAAGGGAGTGGACGTACTGTAGAAGCTGGCCATTACGTAGTTTTGGCAGCGATCACCAGTAAACTCATTTGGGCACCTGAGAGAAGAAACAAAAAAACAATGGTAGAAAAAACAGAGAAAAAGAGAAGAGGTGAATATATGCTAGAAAGAAGCTCCTTCAGTGTCATCTGACTGAACTTGGTGGGTTCACCCTTTGGAACTGACTCCTCGTCCTAATGATGGCTTTTAGACTCTGGCACGTCCCCCAGATGGTCAAGAATAAAACATCATGGGCGGGTATAACGAAAAGTTCTCCGCATTGTTAACTGACTGTCTTTGTTTTTAAAAAGCCACTTAAAATGAAATCATCTCAGTCTTCCACGTGATCGTATTGGTCAAAAATCTGGGAAGGAAATGTCTTGTTGGCTGGCTTGCCTGCCTTGGTTGAGAGCATCCTCAACCAGCTTTGTAACATTTTGCCAACCATGTGGTTAATGAGATCATATGGAATTAGGCTTATGCCCTGAGTGATCAAACCATCATTAGGACAAAAGGGATCAGTTACAACCGAGGTATCAAAGCACCAAGTTGGCAGTGATTGTTGCTGTAGTTTGGGGGAGAAAGCGAGTTTCAGATTATTTTAACATACTTTCTTGGTTTTGGACTTTCATGGGCACATTCTCAGTACATCTTGCTCCAGTGAATCCAGGTTGGCACCTAAAGGGCAAAAACGTGATAAGCAATAGAATGCTAAAGACACTGAACTTTCAGACTGGCAATTTTCGTCCTATGGAATATGAAGAGTCCTAAAAATGACCTGGTCCTGAACAACACAAAGAAAAGACCACACTCGCAGAAAACCATGAAAGCTTTCGGTTACACATTTTTGCTGCTGTTGTATGCTTCAGTCTTCAGAAAGATTAGTTAGCTGGGATTTAACTACAGTGAGGTTGAAAGTCGAATTGGGGTGACAAGGCACAAGCAGCTGTCATTGAGTCTTACCATGTGAAATATCTGGGTTTGGGTAGAGCTTACGTGGGTCTTTCCATACCTTTTATTACGAAGTGATCTTGAGCTTTTTCATATACAGTAGTCTATATTAAGTGTATATATATACATATATATACTTTTGTTTCATAAGTATTGCATACATTGAAAGTTAAATGTCCAAACAATTAAAAGTCAAGGATTATTGTGCTATAGTAATTGCAAGAAAAGTAATAAACCCTGCTTTATTATTTTTTAAGACTTCATATAAGTCTTATTTTTAACACTGAAAGATATTAGGGAGAAGCAGGTAACAATGTGCTAATCCAATCACCCCATCAAAGATCTTTTTTTTAAATTCAGAAATTACTTCTCTACGGATATATTCAATAGATATCACATTGCATTTAAGGTAAAATCTATATGGAAATGACATAAAAATTTATCTTTTGCTCACTTATACATATACCTATCAGGTGTCTAGAATCTTCATATTTTGCTCTTTGTAAGATCACGCAATGGTTGCTAAAACAGGAAAGTCCTTTAAAATTGCTCTATTTGTTGCTCTCAGTTCAGGAATTTAGCATTTTTGGTTTGACTAGTTTTATCTAGGATCATGTAGTAATAAGTAGATCATCAAAAGGTTCTAACAAGCAAATAATACAAATAAAAAATATCTTTATCTGAATGTTCAACACCCACAGTCATAATTTTTGTTAATAGCTCATTTGCATAGAAACCATCATGCAAAGCACCCTAATATAAATCAGCTCTGATAACATATATGAACCTATTCATTTTCACAGGACTCTTCTCCAGATTAAACAAGTACTTTCTGACATCAAAAAATGAAAATAAAACCATCTGCTTTTATCAGTTACTGAGATGATTTCTCTCCCTTCAGACCAAGCTAAATGCCAAAAATGTTATCAAGTGAGTTTTGGCACATGTAATTCTCCCACTGGCTACAGAATCAAAGACTAGCAGTTCCAGACTTTGTGCTGTAAGAGAATTTGTGTAAATATCAGTATAATCATGATGACTAACAATTAATATCAATAAACTTAAAGAACAAGCATCTTGCATTGAAATCGCATTTTCCAACTCATCTACAAACCCTTTTCTAAGACATCAGTTAAGATGCGGGCATTCCTTGTGACAGTACCTGGGCTCAGCCCCAGCTCCAGCTTCCTGCTCATGGGACCAAGGCAGCAGTGATGGGGTCTTCTGCAATTGGGCTGCTACCCTTATAGAGGACCTCGACTGAATTTCTGGCTCTCAGTTTTTGGGGAGGCAACCAGCAGATGGAAATTCTTTCTCTCTGGCCATTGTCAAATAACTAAACAAAATTTTTAAAATGAAACTTTTTGATGTAAATTGTTTTTCTGCAGAATACTTTTGTTGCAAGAAATAAAAGAGACTTTACTTAAAGAAATTAGTGAATGAGGAACTCTCTGTTTTACTACCTCACAAGTTTTACTTTCTAAGTTTAAGAAGTCCTGAAATAAAATGTTAAGAATAGGTTTATAAAGTTTTATGACTTGAAAGTTTGAGTCAAGATTGTTTCTTTCTTTTTAAATTTTCTTTAGTAAAAAAATTCACACATTCCCTAATACAGATTTAGGAGCATAGTGACACTTTCATATTACATTGTCTTAGGAAATAAAGCAAAGAATGTGATTTTTCCATATAATTTGCTTGATAAAATAATTTCTGAAGATACGGGGTTTGAATTTGTCTATTTTAGCCCAGCACAGTAGCCTAGTGGTTAAACTGTTCACCTTGCATATGCCAGGATCCCATATGGGCAACAGTTCTAATTTTGGCTGCTCCACTTTCCATCCAGCTCCCTGTTTGTGGCCTGGGAAAGCAGTCAAGGATGATCCAAAGCCTTGGGACCCTGCACCTGCGTGGGAGACCTGGAAGAGGTGCTGGCTCCTGGCTTCGGATCGGTGCAGCTCCAGCCACTGCAGTCACTTAGGGAGTGAATCAATAGAAAGAAGATCTTCCTCTCTGTGTCTCCTTTCTGTATATCTGACTTTCCAATAAAAATAAAATAAATATTTAACAAACTTGTCTATTTGTTCCTGAATCAAGACTATAAACCTATATAGACCTATTCTTTACTAAATACACAATTCCAGAATGAATGCTATGCTGTACAGAATGATTTTATCTTACTTGCTACATTCCTGATAAAAATCAAATATTGAGCACACCATAATCAGTTTATTTCATGTAGAAAATATAATGCAAAGTCTTTGAGTAAGTTGGTGTATGTGTATGTGAGAAGAAGAGAGACAGACCACTTAAGGTGACAAATATCCATTTATTGGATTTTATTCATTATAAAATCAAGAAATAGCTGAATAAATGTGATTCCCTTAAGAGAAGGAGTGCTTTTACCAGAAATTGTCATTTAAGTATCTAATATGCCAGTTTGATGATCAAAGGACATGTTACATGAATGAGATAAAAAAATCTTGTCCAATATTTTTTCTAATCTTTATGATTTTCTAAGAATCTAGGATTATGGAATGGTAGCTTATTCTATTATAAGATCATAAACAATATTTGATACAATGACACTAGTACTATTCAAGGTTTATAGGTTGTTTTTTTTTTTTAATTATCAGCTATATCTGAACTGAAATCACTCTTTTGCTAACATTCACCTCCACTTGGGAGAGGAGTTTGCTTAACATTATTTCATGATGTTACGAAGCCCCGTGATTACTCAAAGTGTGGTCCCTGGACCATCGGCATTTTCATCTCCTTAGAGCTTATTCATAGATTCTGGATCTCAGGTACCAGGTCTAGAACTTGTGGACAAGAATCTTCATTTCAGCAAGATCCCCAAAAAAGCTGTACGCACATTAAAATTCAAGACGGAAGTGGCCCTGAACTAAGAATAAGGACATTGCAGCCCACCATTCTGGAACCACATTATGCTGTTGGCTGCACACGGGTAAGTCATTTGAATGTACAGAGTGGGCTTCAGGCTCCTCAGTGATAAAATGAAGGGGCTTCACTGAGGATCTCTGTCGGGCACAGCATTTGGAAGAGCAAATGCCACCACCCGGGGCACTTGTAGCCCTTGTTTGAGTGCCTAGTTTCAAGCCCTGATTCCACCCGACTCTGGCGTCCAGTTAATGCACAGGGCTTGAAGTTAGGCTGCAACATGCCGGGCTGGGTCAGGCTTAGCTCAGGAGCTGGGCACTCCATTCAGGTTTCAAAGGTGAGTGACAGGACTCAGTGACTAGAGCCATCCCTGTTGCCTCTCTGTCATTCACCTTTGAAACCGGAATCAGTGTCCAGCTCCTGGACTACGCCTGACCCAGCCCTGCATGTTGCAGGTGTTCACAGAATGAAGCACAGGATTGCAGGTCTCTTGCTCTATCTCTCTCTCTCTCTCACTCTCTCTCTCTCTCAATCTCTCTGCCCTTCAATTGAATGACATCCTGCTCTTTTTTTTTTTAATGTCCACTTTACTAGAAAAGTTCTGGAAATTAATACTCACAATGACACATGAAATCACTGTTAGAAAACCCCAACACCTTTTCTTCATAATGGATTATTTAGGGACTGAGAAGTCAAGCACTTAAAAAAAAATCATTTTGATGGAATGTATTTTAAAGCAATCATAGAACTAAAAACACATGTAAATACTGCAGCAATTCAAGTGTCAGCAACTGAATCGTTATGTAACTTTCATAGACATCTAGAGTTGTTGCCAAAGCAGACAGCTGGAAGCAGAAACTGGCTGAGGCAGTCGGCATAAGTACCTGCCCACTGCACTGCTTGTGGGGAAAGCATATGCAAAGGAAACTATTCTACAGGATAATTTTGAATAGCGTAGGGAGACTCTCTGGCTTTTGGCAAATTTCTATTACGAGTGCTGCATGATATGTTTTTAATTTATCACTTTCCCAGAAGGTAAAAATATGGTAAATTTAATCCAATTTTCAACAATGTGTTTTGGCCTGGGTCTGGGCAAACTCTAAGCATATTATTTCTCGAAAGAATCTAAGAATTTGCGGAATAATCAAGCACCTGCTGCAGTTTCAAAAGTGTACTATTTCATTCCATTGGTCAGATTAAGACATGGAA